CAACTCGCTAGCTTGAATACGGTTGTAAGAATGATACTCTGCTCCGATGATCTCCGTCATATGATACACCAAAGCATACACATTTTCCTCGCAATCAATGGAAATTACCTCGGAAACAGCGTCAACAGGAATGTTCCAGTAAAGCCAATCGACAGGTGGTCAAGGGGAATCCGCCGTCGTTTTCTGGTGAGGTCGGCCTTCAAATCTCTTCACCAGACACTTTCCCTCGAAATGGAAGTAAGCTCAACAATTAAGTAAAATTCAATGGAATTGTCTTTACTCTTTATACTTCAGGAAAATCAACTGTCAGGCCTTCATTAACTAAAGAAACTTTTGACGATAAAAGATATTTAGATAGATACACTGTTGCCTTCAAAACCTTAATCATTCTTTGTATGAATTTAAAATTTTTATATTTAATTTGCCGCAATTTTTTAGTTCTTACTTACCTCTTCACTTGGTTTCTATCATTTTTATCTGTTGGCTTTGAATTTTTCAGCCTTATCTGTAACTTAGCAGCCAGCACAAGTCGCCATTTGGCTCCTGCCAGCCTTGTACCTGAAGAGATATATTCGGACGCCTCGGTTTCTGAGACCAGTCCGTCTATTTCAGGAGTCGGAGCTCAGAATTGCGCATTGCCATCTGGTCACCCAATAGTCCCATCCTCATGTTCTGTCGCTGTTTCCTCCTCCACTTTTCCTGCTACTTTAGGCTCTCATCAGCCCATAGCAGAGCACAGGGATCCACAGAGCTGTTTGCCTGCACTACCAAATAGCAGGCTCATAACATCCGATGCTACTTCTGGGCCTACCTTGTCCAGTCGAATTTCTATGCCGGAACCAAATCAACTGTCGCCATCAGATGAAGATTCAGAATATCCCAAAAATGGGCAGCCAGAAGCCGGTTTTGGGGCCCAAGCTGGCGTAAGTCTGCGACGATTTCCTGCTCCGATGGAGCGCCGCAGGGCTGCTGCTAAAGCAAGGGGCGGCACTATACCAAAGACGGTCACTTCTGCCCGACCATCTGTGGCGCCGCGGCGCAGGTTGGTTATTTTCTAAAATCCTTTACTGCTCCTCACTAATATAATTTAAATAAATATTGGTCTTATTGCTTTTCTTAACCTAACCATTCGAAGAGCCTGGTACAGAATATCCAATCCCTTCCTCATCTCTATGACACTACTAACGCATCTTCGACCTCTGGCGTCTGTTCACGCATGTATTTTCCCTCATCCTTTTTCTTGTATGACATTTTATGGCTAATGGTTTTACCTCGTCTGTCTTAGTTACAGCCGGCCTGTGACTCACCTGGAGTACTCTTTCATTCTTAGTCCCCAGTCTCCTTTATGTTTTATATGAGGCCATTTATCATGCCTTTCAAACATATCCTGAACGATAGACTATATGGGGAATGGTCATTTCATTATTTGTTTCTGTTTTCTTGTTTTTTGAATCATCATAGGAAGTAGGCTTTAGGACTATCTGTAAATCTTGAATAAGAGTTCTAGTCAACCTAGGTCGCATACGGTTATGATGGACTAATTGTAGAAGTTTTCCCAAACGACGAAAGGCGACCATCACCCTTCAAGCGTCTGTCAGCGCACTGCTTTCATACGCTCTGAAGTTACAACTCTGGTTCTGCTATTTTTGCATTGAATTTAGCTCATATTACCCACTCATTTATTGAGCCTTATTATGACCTAGAAGCTTTTTTAGTCATGCCAGGTGATATGGAGTTACTTCCAAAGCTTAACTTTACCTGGCCTAGTGCTTATTGTGAATTAATACCTTTGATTATCCACCTAATTTGCCTCCAAGTTTTGCCTGACATTAACTTTTTATATTTCATTTTTAGTAGGTTTATGAAACTACCAGTAAATCACATATATGATTTATATTCGTTCTACTACTAGTTGAATTTTTCTTCAATGCTGAGAGACATGACGTTTTCCTTGAATTTCGCACAGCCCTACTTTTGGATGAGAATACCTTTTGGGAAAGCAAGGCTATGTGAAATTTAATGGAAACGCCTGGTCTTTCTTGAAATTCACCTATGTCCTGTGACCCAATGGCACTCGTGGTGGCGTTGTGGTTAATGTGTCGAGATTATATGTTGCATTATCATGGTTCGAGTCCGGTTGGGGGTGTTGATAAGGCCTAGGCAAGGTCGAAACTGCACTCCACTCTTGTCTGGATAAAATATACCTTTAGGGAAATTATGATTAATCGATACTCAGTGGAAACGTCATGTGTATTCACATTATTGTGGGAAAATTCAATTACCAGTCTTTTATCAATTTAAACGAAATAGGCTGGACACAACTCATATATTAACTTGTCACATATTTGTATATTTAAACTTATGTCCTGGATACATGACTATTAGTCAAATCTATCAATATTTTAAGGGATATACGTTATGTATTTTTAAAAATTCTCGCTGGTGCCTTCCAAGTAACTTTATTTTTTTAATGTTTGCCAAATTTCTCCGCATTTTTGTTTGCTGTTGACATTTCTCTCTTGCTTGTTATCTCGATGGCGAAACTATTGATGGTGAAAAGTTAATGTCTCCCTAAGAAAGTTGAAAATGTTTTTAACTTAATTTTTATTTTTTATCTCAAAGTGATTGTTTATCTTAGGTTTTATTTTATATTTGTTTCCTTGGTCTCGAACTTGATATGTAAGTAAAGTTAGAAAGCTCAAAATGGCGTGGCTTCTACTGTAGTCTGGGTCTCCTTCCGTTGTGAAAATAAGACGAACCATTTGGTTTACAAGAATTTTGAGTAAGATCTTGGTCACCCTAGGTTGCTTAGGGTGACTTAAGGACTTATAATTTAGTTTTCCTACCATGAGATATGTAGGCCTCAGGATGTAATTGAATTTCATTTAGCCATTCAGGGCAGACTGCAATTTTGATTTCGCACTGGTCTTATCAGCACCCGCAGCGGGATTCGATCACGGACCGTGAGAATCGTAGCGATGTTATTACTCCACTCCACTCCATGGTCACGGGTGCCAGTAGATCACAGGGCATGTGCCACATCCAATCAAGCCATGCCTCTCTCAGCTCATGTTTATACTGGGATTATAAATTAAGCAAAATTATTCGCCACTTTGATCGACAACGTTATTTTCAATCCAAATATTTTAATGGTATTGTGTTTTACACGATTGGATATCAATGTCGATTATTGATGTTATTCTAATTTCGTCTAAAATGGTCTAGAAGATATTCATTTTACTAATTTCATCCTATATCAATTTGCAGCTATACTTGGACCTCTGTTCCTTACTTATATATATCGTTGTTTTAAATTCAATAGTCTTGGCTACAACCTTATTTGAACGCTATATCTGTCTATTGATATTTATTTCACTTTAGTCTAAGCATTTTAAGATTCACGTGAAATCATTTGTTTTCCTCTTAATTAACAAGGCGACATCAAAATGAAATCCATTATGATAATGCTCCTTTGGTCTCTGATATCTGGAATTTAAATTCTTGAGGTTTATTGGTGACAAACAACAACATTGTTACTATTATTACAATTCATATCTTTATAGGCTTCAATATGAGTCTTATTTATAAAGAATTAATGATACACTAACATTCTTTCTGTGTGAAACGACTCCTTAGTCCAGCCAGGTTTGATTAGACTCTTCACCACCTAATTCTCCTAAAGTATGTGGAAAACCCGGGTTTCAGAGAATCTCTCAATATATTGATGTTGGAGTACC